ACTGAACGTTTTCCTGGAGGAAACTGGTGTTCGCCGACAATTTACTGCACCATATTGTCCACAGGAAAACCCCACGGAGCGAGCCAACCGAACAATAAAGACAGTTATCGCTCAGCTAACAGGCAATCAGCATAACAAATGGGACGACTTTCTGCCAGAAATTACGTTGGCAGTTAATTCAAGCGTTTCTGAGTCAACGGGGTACAGCCCGGCCTTTCTTGTGCAGGGTCGAGAACCAAGGCTCCCAGGTGCTCTGTTCGATGAGGTAACAATCGGTTCGGGTGCTCGAGTTAAAGAACCTTCGAAGAGGGCGATCGAACTACGTGAAATTTTCCAAATAGTCAAGAAGAACTTGGCTCAAGCTGGAGAAAATCAGAAAAGACGGTATAACCTTAGACGTCGTAAGTGGGCTCCAGTTGTCGGAGACCTTGTACTGGTTAAACAACATCCATTGTCAAAAGCGACGGACAATTTCGCGGCGAAATTGGCACCTAAGTTCGATGGGCCTTTCGAAATTATTAGTTTTCCATCTCCGGTTATCGCGAAGGTTCGGAAAGTTGACGGGAAACACGAGAGGAACGCTCATCTGGGGGATATGAAACCTTACGTCTCACCATCTGAACATCTAAATTGTGTAGATACTAACATAGATACTGTTTCTTCTACCTCAACAGATTCCCAAAAATCAATAATGGACCAACCTACCCAACCATTACGTACAAAGGCTTTTTACAAGCATCAATACCAGCTTGTGGAGTCGCTCAAACCCTGCTCGGTTGTGCTCACGAGGTTAACAGAGGGGGAAACCGATGCACTGCGGAAAAAGAACGCAAGGTCCACACTTGCCCCTAAGCCATCCAAGAGGGCCAACACCAGCGAACCCACAAGGAGGAGGTCCCACAACCAAAAGAAGATGCGACGTGAAGTGCCATCGTCCTCACCGGTAGTAGTCGAGACCATCGTTATCTCATCTGACGATGAGGTACCATCTACCCCGCCCCGGAGACCACCTGTGGTACACGACTACCCCATCACCCCTCCTCCTACAGTGTCACCCATGGCAGCCGGAGACACCTTAACCGACTTACCACCGACGCCAGGTCGTACCCTCTTCATGGACACGGGATTTCCACCGACACCCGGACGTAACATGGGTTTGGCTCTGTCCCCTCGGTATGCACCGGACTCTGAGTCGGAAACCGAATACGGTCAACCCCATATAAACCGTCGGTTGGAACAAGTAAGAAGCCCGAACCCCCCGACAGTATCCAGTGTGGTTGTCGTACCGGTAACTTCGGAAAAATCTGTTGAGGACATCCAATTTGAATGCCGGGAAATGTTACCAGAGGAAATTAGGAGCGAATTACAGCCATGTCTGCGAGAAGCCCTTCGTCGCTGGATACCTCACCACCAACATAAGCGTGTTTTTACCATTGGCGGGAAGAAGCTCCGGGTCCACGTAAATCGACAAGGCAAAACTTTTGTGCGGATGTTGTGAAAGCAGCCGGCTCATTTAGGGAGGGGAGGCAGTGTGACGACGAAAGTCATTTCATTTGTTTTCGTCCCCACTTTGTTGTTTAATTGTCAAATTGTCAAATTTATTTGTGTAAATAATGAATTGTTTATATAAATATGAATTTTCATAAACACCGCTTTTTTTTATTTCCAAAACTTAACCAATCTCCCTCATAATTATTTACATCGATTTCTTATTTGGCATTGATTTTAACACTGGACAGTTAGGTTCAATGACCGTCATATTCAAGGCCACGCAGTAACAGCGAGCAATGTTGTTAGATCAACGCACAACTGCAATGACAATGCACTGCACCAATGCATAGGCAGCCAACAACAAGCAAGCATCACAACGATCGATTCAACCAAAGCATTGCGCCAATGCATAAACACACAACAACAAGCAAGCATGGCACAATGCATAAACGCACAACAACAAACAAGACTCACTGGGCATTGATGCTAATGCATGGTAGTGGAGACCGGACAACGCAGGCATAGCATAACAACAAAGACCATGCATGACAGTGAACCATCGTTCGATGATGGCAAAGCGAATGCATGGAAGACAAAATTTATAACTGTTTTGTCTAACAACAAAAAGGCTTTGCCATAGAAAGTCTGAGATCACGTGACATGCTGCGATCCTATAAAAAGGAAAAGTTCTATGAGAAGTTTTTTTTCAGTTTTTGAAGTGAACAACAGCAAAGAAGTCAGGTGAGTCAGAGTGGTGACAAGATAGGAAAACTGTTAGAGGTGTCATAGCCCTTCGGTAACTCGTGTTCTCTAACTAGATTCTAAACCCTTGAGGTGTCGCAAAGCCCTTGGGTTCTTCGGGAATTTAGCCCTTGAGGTGTCGTAAAGCCCTTGGGTTCTTCGGGAATTTAGCCCTTGAGGTGTCGTAAAGCCCTTGGGTTCTTCGGGAATTTAGCCCTTGAGGTGTCGTAAAGCCCTTGGGTTCTTCGGGAATTTAGCCCTTGAGGTGTCGTAAAGCCCTTGGGTCCTTCGGAAATTTAGCCCTTGAGGTGTCGTAAAGCCCTTGGGTTCTTCGGGAATTAACCCCTTGAGGTGTCGTAAAGCCCTTGGGTTCTTCGGGTTTCTTCGCTTCTAACCCCTTGAGGTGTCGTAAAGCCCTTGGGTGCTTCGGGAATTAACCCCTTGGGGTGTCGTAAAGCCCTTGGGTTCTTCGGGTTTCTTCGCTTCTAACCCCTTGAGGTGTCGTAAAGCCCTTGGGTGCTTCGGGAATTAACCCCTTGAGGTGTCGTAAAGCCCTTGGGTTCTTCGGGTTTCTTCGCTTCTAACCCCTTGAGGTGTCGTAAAGCCCTTGGGTGCTTCGGGAATTAACCCCTTGAGGTGTCGTAAAGCCCTTGGGTTCTTCGGGTTTCTTCGCTTCTAACCCCTTGAGGTGTCGTAAAGCCCTTGGGTGCTTCGGGAATTAACCCCTTGAGGTGTCGTAAAGCCCTTGGGTCTTCGGGTATTAACCCCTTGAGGTGTTTTGAAGCCCTTGGGATCATCGTATTTATCCCCTTGAGGCGTTAAAGCCCTTCGGGTCTCTTCGTTTGTAACCCCTTGAGGTGTCAAAGCCCTTGGGCCTTCTGGTATTAACCCCTTGAGGTGTTTTGAAGCCCTTGGGTTCGTCGTATCTATCCCCTTGAGGCGTTAAAGTCCTTCGGGTCTCTTCGTTTTTAACCCCTTGAGGCGTCAAAGCCCTTGGGCCTTCTGGTATTAACCCCTTGAGGTGTTTTTGAAGCCCTTGGGTTCATCGTTTTAACCCCTTGAGGTGTAAAGCCCTTGGGTTCTTCTTTATCAACCCCATTGAAGTGTTCAAGCCCTTCGGGTATCCCCGTTTAATCCCTTGAGGTGTCTACAGCCCTTGGTTTCTACGTTTCTTCAATCCCTCGAGGTGGGGTGTTTTCGACAAACACAGGAGGATAACCAGCATCAGAAGAGCAAGGACGCTAAATTTGCCGCATTATATACCAAAATCTATATATACTTTCTTACAAGAGCTGTTTAATATAAGTAAACCCCAATCAATTCTGAATAAACGTTATTTATTTTGCTTAAAACACAAACAACTTGCGTTTTTTACTCTCTCGGTCACTTTATAAATTTCTGTGGCAGACCCTAGACCCCGCGAGCATACCTTAGCCAGAAGAAGGGAATTTGGGTCGTTACAGTCCTGTTATAATGTCCAATGTCTGCGCCCAAATTGTTTGCTTGCCCAAGGCTTTAATACACCCTCCAGAATATTTTCGCGATAATATTCGACATTTATTCTGATGCCACAACCATTGACTGTTGTGGCGGCCCATACCATCACTATGACCGGCGCTTGAGATCTGGTGGTTAACCGAAGGTGCACATTTTCAGATGACCCCTTTGGCAAGTAAACACGATAATTTTGTTTGTTTACAAATTGCTGGACAACGAATGTTTTCTCGTCGGAGAAAACTAAATTCGGCAGTTCACCACTTTCTGCCAAGCGAAGCAACTCTTTAGCTGTTTTGAGTCTACTTTCTTCATGTTGCGGTGTAAGTTCGTGCACTTTTTGGAATTTCAATGGTTTTACCCGAGCTCATTTTTCAATATATGCCGAATGGAATATTGCGATATGTTCAGCTCGCGAGCCATTTTTCGGCCACTTCGACGCCGGTTTCGATCAAGTCGCCTTTTTACTTTTCGAACCATTTCTGCTGATGTTGCTGTTTTCTTCCGTCCACTTCCTTGACTCGGGCTACGCTACCAGTATCACGGTAACTAGCGATGGTACGAGACACAAAAGATTTATTCACATTTAAATGCTGGAGTACTCAACCAAAGCCACTTGTGGTTCTGTGCGGTCTGGAGTATTTTGAAAAGCGAGGTTGGCACTAAAAAATACCAAGCAAGCGCTTCGCCGGCAATGGGCCAAAATACCATAACGCAACATACGGGCAGTGTGTGAAGGCTTCATTGGCCGTTTGAAAACCAAAATTCGTACCAAAGGTGACCAATTCGAACAAATATAAACTTATTCTAAAATTTGATGCTATTTCCGACATTTTTTGCTTTCATTCAATAAAACTGAAAAAATGTAAAAAAATATGGCGTTTGACTTTATTGCAGTTTTTTTTTATTTCACCCTGTATATCCTCCATAGAATGGTGAAGGGTATAAAAAGTTTGGAACGCCCTTAAATATATTATAAGAATGTCACTTTACACATGACTCTCTCATAATGTGTAATCGGATCTTTAGTAGTGTTCAAATGTTCTGCAATATTCGATTTCAAGGACTTCTTTTGACAATAAAAATGTAACAATCGTATTATGTGCTTAGGAGCAGAATCAGACTTCTGAAATTTGGTATGAAGTCTCTTGTTCCCGTTGAGAAATTTAACTAACGTATAGAAAAACTTTTACTATTTACAGTATCTCTATTTCAAAAATATGCAAATTTTTACAAAACAAATCAATCTAATTTATTTTCTCTTTTATTTTCAGGTACGTATTTGTGAAGCTTTCTCATATTTCCCCATTAGAATTCATGGTAAGGTGGCAATAAAATGTCAATTACAATAACACTACAAAACCAAATTGTATGTTTCGAATAATCACGAATTCGATAAAAATGAAAACAACAATATCCTCAATATATTATTTAATTTATTTACTTTTACATTTTTGTCATTGTTTTGCCATTTGTGTGTTTCCATTATTTTTGAACTTTTTTTGTGTTGTTGTTACCGATATTTGTGCATCATTGTAGCCGACTGCGCTGTCAACCTATTTTGCACCTGCGCAACTCGCGTGCTTTCCTCCATTCACACAGTTGCTCCATTGTTTGATCATGATACACGCTCTCAATAATGCGAGTGATCGAAGTTTGTTAAGCGCAATTTGTGTCGGCGGTGGGGGGAAGTGCACACCCAAACAACCACTCCCGAATGATGAACACAAAAATTAAATAAAATTTCATCTATCGTGGTGGTTTTGATTTAAATTATAATATAAATATTTTTGGTCTCAAAGATGTCGCGTATATTATTTTTCGCATTAGGGCTCGGAGTATGCAATCTTATAAGCCTGACTTCCCAAATACCAAGGACGTGTTTGGAAATTGACCTCCATAGCGGTAATGGAACAGGTGCTCATTGAAACTCTTTTAAGACAATTTAGGTAAATATAATCTGAAGGAGGGCCTTATTGGAATTTTGATGGCGAGGATTAGGAATTCCTAACACGACTTCCGATTAATATATTTTGTTGTTGGAAAGTCAAAGGGTTAAATGTAAAAAAGCGAAAAAAATCAACTTTTCGTAGTCATATTTTTTCGTCTATTTATACCCTACACCACAAGGTGGTCAGGGTATTATGTCTTTGTGCATTTGTTTGTAACAGGCAAAAGGAAACGAGATAGACCCATAGTTCATTTTGATGATCTGCATAGAATCACATTCTGAGTAGATTTATGCATGTCCGTCCGTCCGTCTGTCCATGTATTCTTGTGAACAAAATGCAGGTCGCATTTATTATCCGATTGAGATGAAAATTTTTCAAACAACATTTGTTTGGCCCAAGGACGAACCCTATTGAAATTGGAGATAATCGGTCAAAATTTAGATATAGCTCCCATATATATCTTCTGCCGATTTGCCTTTTATTGTGCACCAAACGTGTAATATCACCCCGAATAGTATGGAATTTTGCACATACAACCAAATTAGATCTGAAAATAAGTATGCCAAATTTGATCGAAATCGGTTCTGATGTATCTATAGCTCCCATATATATTGTTCACCCGATTTGTTATTTTAGTACTCCACAATACTTTTAGTACTATAAAACTTCGTCCGATTTACCCTTTATTGTGCACCAAACGTCTAATATTTGCCCAAATGGGATCGAATTTGGCACATACGACCGAATGGAGTCTAGAAAGTAGTATGCCAATTTTGGTGAAGATCGGTTCAGATATAGCTATAGATCCCATATATACTGTTCATCCGATTTGTTATTTTTGTCCACCGCAGCCGTAATATGCACTCTGTAACAACAATATAATATATATAAATACCTTTGCTAAATTTTATCGAGATCGGTTCAGATTTGGATCTAGCTCCCATAAATACAAATGCTTCGGCATGTTTAGTCTTTTGAACTTTAAATTATAATTATAATCATAGCGTGCATGATTGAACTCTCCCATATAAACTATTAATTGTTATGTGGAGATTTACTAAATTAGTAAAGTTGTGTAGGGTATCATAAAGTCGGCCCCGCCCGACTTTAGGACTTTCTTTACTGGTTTTCCTTTTGGTATAAGACAAAAAGTATGCAACTGTTAACGTTTTCTAATTTAAATGCCTTCCCTGTTAACAATTCTAAACAAAAATCTTATGACAATTAATGTCATTTGTTTTTGGGGCTCATATAAATGCAACATGCATGGTAATATGCCCATAGTTCGAAGAACCTGTATTAAGATTCAAATGTGTAACGAACAGATCTCCATTCAGATATGCAATGAACAGATCACCAAGTGTTCAAAAGTAGTACCTTAGGGACAGATATGTGCACAATATGTACAGCTTAAGACCAATTTAAAGCTATGATTTCTCATTTTTATAGCATACTTTTAGGCGCCAAAATATATTTTTGTAACCTATACAAATATTTAAAACAGTAGTGAAATAACTGACTAACTAAGAATCAACGCCCAAACGAAATGGTTGAAGCTAAAATCTTGAAATTTTGTATTGGACAAACGACCAGATCTAGAGTTCTAAAATTTGGAATGAGATTTACTGATGGAGTGCAGGTACTAAATTTGGAAGTTTCGTTTAGGGTGAACGGATGAAGGTGAAATTTTGAAATTTTGTATTCAGGTCCCTCTTGGTGGTAGGTGCACAAAAAGTACTAAATAGTACTTTATTTGGTAGAATTTGGTATTGGGTGAACCGAGAGAGTTGGAAATCTGAAGTTTGGAGTCATAGTTTTTGATGTTCTGAAGGATCGACAAACTAAAGGGGTTTTCGAAATTCTTACAATACCTGTCCCAAAAGAACCAAAAAGCACAAAAATTGATACCATTTAGAATTATGTGAACGCTTAGTGGAAACATCTTGAAATTTGGTATAAAAATCAATTCTTGGAAATGGGGTTGGAGTAAGGAAATGTGTACTAAGTGTGAGAACTGTGCTGAATGGTACTGAATTTGGTACAATTACATTTTGGTTGTACAGAAGATGCTGTTAATTTGAAATGTTTGTATGGGAGTCATTGTAGGCGATGTTTGGAAATGCACAAAAAGTACTAAATAGTACTAAATTTGGTTCAATTTGGTATTGGGTGGATAGATAGTGCTTGCAATCTGAGATTTGGAATTATGTGAACGGTTAGTGGTAAAATCTTGAAATTTGGTATGAAAATCAATTCTTGGAAATGGAGTTGAAGTAAGGAGGAGTTTTGGAAATGTGTACTAGATGTACACGAAAAGTACTAAATAGTACTATACTTTGTACAATTTTGTATTGGGTGGACAGATCGTGCTTGAAATCTTAAATTTGGTATCAGGCTGTTCATTGTAGCCTGGACACAGGGAGGTGGTTTCGAAAATGTGTACTATAATTGTACGAAAAGTACTGAATGGTACCATATTTGGTATTGGATGAAGGGATAGAGATGAATTTTTGAAAATTAATATTTTGATTACTGGTAATATCTGCGTTTGGGATTTTGGGGTTATTTGGAAATGCGATCTATAATTGTACGAAAAGTACTAAATAGTACTAAATTTGGTATTGCGCAAAGGATTACGACCGGAATCCTCAAATTTGATATTGAGGGCTCTGTTGATATCTACAATTGCGACAAAAAGGCGGTTTTGGAAATGTGTACTATAGTTGTTCGAAAAGTGCTAGATAGTACTAAATTCGGTATTGGGTGAGGGAATAGAACCGAAATCTTGAATCTATACCAAATTCACTGTTGGTGTCCGTGGTTAAGATATGGAAGTGGTTTTGGAGATGCATACTATAATTGTTCGAAAAGTACTGAGTGATGTTATACTTGGTATTCAGTGAATGTATAGAGCTGGAATTACGAAGTTTCATATTTGGGTCCGTATTGGTACCAGGTGTTGAGAACTGGCGGTGGTTTTGCAAATGCCTACTATAATTGTTCAGAAGATACCAAAAGATACTAATTTTGGGATCACTGTTGGTGTGTCGTATGGAGAGATGTAGATTTTTTTGGATATGAGTACTAAATGTAACTTAAATTGGTATTGGGTGAAGGGATAGAGTTGAAATTCTGAAATTGGATATTGGGGTCATTGTTAGTTTCTAAGGTTTACAGAGGAAGACGTTGAAATAGTTTTGGACAGCAAGATTGGTAAACTACGAAATAAAAGGTTTTGAAACCTTCTTGGTGAAGAAAGTAACCATTTCCTATCACTTCTTCGAAAAAGGAAAAACTTGAAAAATATATAAACCCTTGAAAGTCAGAAAATGTAGTAGTACGATATTTGAAGTTTTGGTTGAAAAATTGTGCATTTTGGGACTAAAAAGGCCTAACTGTTGGAATAAATCTATAATTTTAAGGTAGAATTTGGACGAATTGTCTGGTACTTGGTAGTACTATATAATATACTTACACTATATTTGTACTACACCATAAAGCATTTAATTTCAGATAAACATTCTTTAAGCGCCTAAATGTATGCTATGAAATTTTGTCGGTCAGTCAGCCAAGGCAGGCAAATAACGATTTTTCAATACCAAAATGAACGATTTATTCATATTAGGTAAATCTAATCTCCACATTATGTACTATTACAAGGGAGCAGAAGTCGAAGTTGAAAGCAGAAGTCGAATTTCGAACTTTTCGATTTGAACAAATTTGTATCACATTAAAGAGCCGATTAAAACTTTTCGACTTTTCACAAAAAAAATGAAATAAAAAAATAATTAATTTGGAGTTACACATTTCTGACGTTGGAATTTCTCATCATGGAGATGCCTAATAAGGCCCCATTTAACTTATCTTCGATTTCATCAACTATTCCCATCTTAGGTACCGTGTCACAAATTGAGTAGAGATACATTGTAAGTGTGAACATGTTTACAAAATGTCCAGTCAACAAAACCTACCTTCCCCCCCAATCTACCACATAACCCCACCATGTAATTCCGTCAAATACTTCATGTCAGTTGACGGCAGACCGACCACCCTTCAATCATTCAATACCTATTTCGGCACGTGTGTACATGTTTAGGTGTATTGAATCGTAGACAACAACGACAACTACAACAAAACAATATTAGGGCAAGCAATGAGCATGTTTTTGCTATTTCTATTGAAAAGCGTCAACATTAACACTGCCTTTTTTACATAGCTGACCGAAGTGCCAAAAATAGAAAGAAAAACGTTTCCGCATTCGATGATGTTGCAACAATTGTTGCTTTCATAATTTAGCAAAGCAGGGACTAGCCCTGGTGGCAGGGAGGGCCAATGGACTGAAAAGAAAAAAAAAAAAAAAAACTAAAA